AAAAACTTGTGCCTCCAAAAGATAAATAAAATAAAAATGGTGGGTCAGCAAGATGGCTTAGTGCGCAAAGACGCTTGGCACGAAAGCTTGGCGACCTGAGTTCAACCCTCAGAAACGTGATGTTGGAAGGAAAGACTGTTACAAAGCTGTCCCCAGCCTCTATAAATATGCTGTCACATACACCCATTTCCCTCCAATAAAATAGTAACAAAAATCACACACACACACACACACACACCTGGAGAACGATGGCACTTGTTGATAAATCTTGAGGACTGTAGTTCAGATCTCAGCACCCACATTAGGCTGGGAGGGTGAGAAGATCCTCACAATCACCAGTAACTACAGTTCCAAGAGACCCAACATCATCTTCTGGCATCCTTCACTTGTGTGCAATGCAAATACCCGCACACATATAAAAAGTAAAAATACATCTTAAAAAAAAAAAAAGAAGCTGCTATTCTGAAGGAAAAAAATCTCCATTGGACAAGTGAGACAACACTAGAGTTTACTAGAGTAAACTCCCCTTCCAGCAATTTAAGGGTTACTTCTTTAGTATAAAGTGGGCATACTTGACATTCAAGGGAAAGCAACCTGTCTCACAAAGGAATCACACTAGCATGGCTGGGAGTGGCTTGGTTGTTTTTGGTGTTGTCTCTTCCTTTATTGGTAGTTCTGGAATTTGCCCCAGAGGCAAGTGACTGTGGCAGTGGTCAGCAATCACTTGGCAATTCTGAATTAATTCTAGGGTGTATCTTCACTAATGTTTGGCTTAATTTGGGAAAAAGAAGTCAATTCATTTAACTATATCTACGGTCCCAATAAGTACCGTTAAGTCCAACTTAAGAAAGTGAGCCTCCGTCTTTAAAATACAAACCGGAACTGGTTGCCTCCAGTGAAAGCAGTCAGCTACTAAAGCAACCACCCACATACACACACCCCTTCGGCACCCCCAGCACCCCAGCCTTCCTGAAACTGCAAGGGAAGGTCCCTGGACTCCAAGGTTAATCCTTGAAATTGAATGGAATTTTTGGGAACTCAGGCATCTGAGTAACTGGTCACAAACAGCTTCAACGCTGAGTCACAGCCTGATTTTTCTGGGATAAGCCGTTCCTCTGGTGCATTGCCTTTTGAGGAGCAAATACATGGTACCAATGTCTGGCCCGGTTCTGCCTGACTGACTAAGAATCTCACTCTAAGCAGGTTACATGCCAGTCAGTCAACTGTGCTGAGAAATGGCTACCATAATTAACTCAGTTTCCTGCTCTCATTGGGGGTAGGTGGTGGCTAAACCTTAAGTTTTATGCAGTTTGCAAAGGAGGCTTCTGCTATGTGAGTTGTTAGGCTAAACAGAAACTAACCGAGAGAAAGAGGGAAATTTAGTCTCCATTGTAACCCAAGAATACTACAAGTAAAGACATTTGTTTCCATCTTAGTTCCTGGCCTTTATCATTGCATTTCATAGTCTCCTGTACTGGGAAAGTTTGGGCTCAGGGGCTGATATTGGAATGGCCTGGTAGCCATAGCCTCTGACTGGGAGGAGCCTGGCTCTAGCAGTGACAGGGGAGCAGGTGACCTATGTGTCCTAGTCAGTAAGGTCTATGGCAGCAGGTGACCAGCACCTGCTGAAGGGCTTCCAAGGTCCCTGTGCTTCCCAAGCCAGGAAGCACATGAATTCAGCCTCAAGTACAAGGGTTTCAAAGTCAACCTCCATCTGCCTGCAATGGTGGCTGAGAGAGGGGTCCCTTTGTGAGGGAGGGCAGAGAACACTTAAAATCATGCTTGGGACACACACACACACACACACACACACACACACACACACAGAGTAAAAAAATAAGTCAGGCTAAAAAACGAAGCAAATGACTTCAGTGCTACAACTCAAAAGAAATTACTATTTTTTTATCTTAACTACTCAGGGAAACAACACATTGAAAATGGCAGTCCATACCCCCAGTTCCCAGACCTGAGGGGTGACATACAGGTTCCTGTGAGAGGGGCTCTATTGTGACACGGTATCATCTCCATAGTTCATGTTTGAGAACCCTGTGACTGAGTCACAAAACAAACATCTCCCAGTGCTTTAAGTGAGTTTAGGCTTTTATGTGGAGGGCTGCATTCATAGACGGCCTGCTTGCTTGCAGCCTGTGGGCTGTGAATTGCACATGCCTGGCGGCGCTAACTTCTACCCTTCTATCAGATTCCTGCCCTGGTATGGATGGACTGGCTCCTTTCAGGGTCAGTGCTCGTCACTGTGTGGAGAGAGGCCAGAGTGGACACAACCTCAGCAACGCAAACAAGTTAGGGAGGTTTAAAGAATGGCAGTTTGGGGCTAGAAACATGGCTTTAGTGGTTAAGAGCACTGGCCGCTCTCCCAGAGGACCCAGGTTCGATATTCAGCACCCACATGGTGGCCAACAACTGCCTATAACTCCAGTTCAGGGGAACTGAAGCCCTCTTCTGGGACAGGGCAGGCATAGACATCCATGCAGCCAAAGCACCCGCACAATAAAGAAAAGAAAGGAAAAGAATGCCAGTTTCCACCGTGGATGCGGGGCCTCCACCTTTTCACCAGCAGACCTGCCTAGCACCCCTCAACCCTGTCCTCTCCCCTCCTACTCTCCCTTTTTCTTTGTGGCGCTGAGGCCTTGAACATAGGCAGGCAAGCAAGCACTCTACCACTGAGTTATAGCCTCAGCCTTTAGAGTTTTCCAGTTGTTTTGAAACAGGGTCTGGCTATGCCCAGGCTGGCCAGACCCAGCCTCCGAGTGCCAGTGTTGCAGGCGTCCAGGCCGGCACCACACACTCTGCTCTAACCCTGCTGTTTGTCTTAGCTCTGGTCTGAGGAGGTCACACGTCTGTCTGCTTCCTCTTGCTCACCTTGTCCTCTCACAATCATTTAACCCAGCCCCAGTCTACTGGAGAGCTTGTTCCTAAGGGCCAGGGACATTTACTGCAGAATACAAAAGGCATCCTGTAATGGTCACTGCTGTGCTCAACCCAGGGTCCAAAGCAGCTGGGTGGCCCCCTCCTAACACACCGGCCATTGTCATAGCCCTGCACACTTCCTGCCCAACAGCCTCATAAACAGGGGCCACGTTTTGTTTCTTTTTCTGTGTTCTCCTTTAACAAAGTTTTTGCTACTGTTCTGTAAACCTCTTAAAGATTCACAGTTTCTTTCTAGAATTTTCTAGGGCCAAATATGTTCCAGAATTCAGCACTGTTAGATTTTTAGTAGGGTAAGAGGAGGCACAGACCATATTTTATTAGGTAGCAGTCCTTTATCAAATGCACAGAGAGGGCTTTAGAGCAATGTATGAAGGTTACATTACATTAAGGAGAGAAAGAAAGACTAAAAATAGCCTCATCTAGGACAGGGCAGAGCTCATTGCTAGATGAATTCTGCCATAATCTTGCATATAAACATTTACTCACTCTTTAGTGATCTGTGATTCCTGGATTCTGGAAGGGAGGGTGGGCCCTGATCAGCCCAATGAGCACTTGGAAACGAACCTGGTTCTAGCCTCCTACGGCTGGGCAATATCTTGGGTTCCAGGCAGGCTCCAAGTGTTGAGTAGTGGGACCTGTACCTAGTGTCTTGGGATTGGAGGTGGAGTCCCCACCTCTTGGGCATTTCCCTGCCTTTCTTACAGGCTGTTCTAGGTGTTTGCCTGTTTATCTTCCCTTTGCCCAGGACTCTGGCACTTGGTTCCTGTGTGCTAGAACGAGCCCAGAGCTGACTCTCTCACCATTCTTACCTTCTATGGTGTGCCTGGGCGTCTGTTCTAACAGAAGCTTTCCCTCCTCCCCGATCTCAAGACTCCCCTGAAGACGGTTCCAAAGTGGCTCTGTCCCTAAGCCCACAAGTTGTGGGCTAACTCCCAAAGCCCAAATTACTGCCAAAACTCAAGTGAAGGCATAGAATAATCGGTGGGGGAAGGGTTGGGGGGGGCACGACTCAGCAAAGGCTATCATTGGAATCAAAGTTTACACCTTCCCAGCACTTCTGACTACGTTCCCCCAGTCAAACAAAACAGCCTTATTGTGACTATTCCACACACAAACATCAACTAGATTAGCCCCTTCCTGGTGAATGAGTGACTGGGGCTCACTTTTATCAAGGACTCAGAAAAAAACCAACAAAGTAGGAACCTTGGGTCTTCTTTCTGTAGGTCTAACTCTATAAAACATTGTTTCAAGGAGTACCTTTTATTTTTAAATATTCCCATTCATAAGCAACCACAGCAATGGGCTGGGTGGGGAGCCCAGCATTAGAGAGCTGTGGAGAAGGGAGGATCCTGAGTTTAAGGCTAGTTTGTGTTACATAGTCCCATCCGGGTCTCAACTCTCAGCCCCCAAACCATAAACATGAAGGGGGGTGTAACAGCCAAAGGTTTCCAACTCCCCGGTCCTGGATTTTAAGATCTCACACACACTCAAGTTCTGTAAGTCAAAGACCAGAGACTGACACCCGCTAAAGTGGATTAGGGCCCTGGCTCCTTGAGGGAGGTTTTCCCAAGGTCAAAGGCCTGTAAGCCCTCCAAGCCTCTCTAGACAAGGTGGTGGCTCTGGATGAGAGCCCAGTTCTTAGGTGCTGTATTTTGTAAAATACCAAACTAGCAGTTCCCTGTGAAACTCTACACCACACTCAGATCTCCGATCTCCGTTGGATCCAGGCCAGTTCCAGCCAGCTGGGCAGAGCCTGCCTAGAGACCATCACCAGGGCCCAGGGAGAGACCACGCTCCCCTTCGTCCTTGAGAGGGGCGTTGGGACATAAAATATACTTTTCAGAGCGCCACCTGAAGATATGTTGCACTCAGCCAACCATCTGTCCACGGGCATCAGGAATGGCTCTAGCAGAGCCCACTCGCCTCTGCTCCAGCAGGACCGCTGCAGCGGAGGGGGCCACTGTCCTTGACTTTATAGTCATGGGGGGGGTGGTACCCAGCTCTGCGGGGACCGCTGGCAGGCGCAGGTCTGAACCACGTGTTCCTCTTACCAGTCTTTGCGCTTCTGGACTAAGACAGTCGATTTCCTGGTTTTTCGCTCCCGCCGGGCTGGTCATATTGCCGGAGTGCAGACCAACTTCCCACCCTTGAGTTAGTGCCGCAGACCCGCTCAGTCGGAGGGCTCTCAACGAGGCCACATTTCCGGATCCAGGACAGCCGTCCAGGCAGAAGCAGAACTCGCGATGATCCCCCCTGGTGCACACGAAGCCCGGACACCCGGCTCCGTGGTTTCCCAGCTGGGGTGCGGCCGGTAGGGCGGGACGCAGGTGGCCCCGGGCCGGGGGTGGGGGTGGCAAGAGAGGAGCCCCGGGCACACTCCGCCCCGGCCCCGCCTAACCCCGCCCCCACGCCCCACCCACTCTGTGCCCGCCACTCCTTCCTTCCCAGCCCCTTTCCCGCGCTCTTTCCTGGGGGGTGTGCCCCTTCCTCCTCGGCTCCACCCATCCGAGAATCCGTCTGCCTCCCACGCTCCTACCACGCTGCCCCATCCTGCCCCTTCAGCGGATCGCTTCACCCACAGTGATACTTCCAACCCAAGCTCTCCTTCCTTGAGGTCCACCCGAGTCCGCCCACCAGAGACCCTAAGCTCCTCCTCCAAGACCTCGTCCATGCTCCTCCCTTTGCTCTACCTCAGAAGCTCCGGATCCGCCTTCCTCCCCATTCCGACTGCTCTTGGCTAGCCAGCTGCGGTACCATCAATCACCACCCAGTCCCTGAGGCTGACACCGGAAAAGCGGAGGGGAATCTCCCTAGGGACCCCACCCGCAACCACGCCCTGGCCGTCCCTCGGCTGAGTCAGCGTGGGAGACCAGCCCAAGCCACGGGAAGCACGCCTTCCATTAGGACACGCGTGGCTTGAGCTGGAACCACACGGAACCACAGCGCACGAGCCTCTGCCCAAACTCAGCTGCCCCCGCTGTAGCGGTCTTCTGAGCTGGCGCAGCCTTGAGGACCACAGAGCCACCGCCCCTGGCCACTCAGGACAGGAGCGAGCATCAGGCCCGGGTCACAGCCGCGGTCCGGCGGATCCGGTGTCTGGAGCCCCCCCCCCCCATTTACTCCGTTCAGGCTACGGTGCTGCTCCAACAGGGCGGCAAGAAACTGATCTCCACGCAGGACAGTTACCCGACTCCTAGCACGCTCCTGACTTAAAATTAAAGCCATGCCGGCAAGCAACTAGAAGATTTTAATGCTGTGAGTTATAGACTGAAGCAACCCAAGGGAAACTGCACAGATTTCACCCTTAGCCGATCCCGGCTGCATAGCAGACTTAGGTGAAGTGTTTTCTCTGCCCTAGAAGGGCCTTCTTCAGGCTCAAAAGGAAAAGCAACAGGGTCCCTTGGCCTGTTTTTCTTTTCTGGAATTACCAGAAAGATTCTGGAGAAGCCAGCATCACATCTGAGCTTTATGGCTCCCTATTCTCAGCCCGGAGGACTTGCTTCTTGTTAACAGCGAACACGCGTGTGCACTGGCCTGTGAGTGTGGATCAGCATCTTGTCTCTGGGCAGTGCTTCAAAGGGCTGGGATGGTCAGAGTGTGGACCTAGAGGAAGATGGGTTCTGAAAGCAGAGGAACCTGGCCCGAAGGGATGGAGGGGGCGTGGTTTAGGGATGAAGAGGCGTGGTTTTGTGAGTAGGAGCAAGCTCTGAGAAAGCATCCCCGCAAAGGAGGGGTACTAGCTTCCAGCATCTGGTCTCAGCGTGATGTTTAAAGTGCTCGATTCTACAAAGTTTATACCATTGGAGAGAATAATTTTAGATGGCATCGTAACGGCAAAGGTTGGTGGAATTTATGCGGGGTACAAGTAATTCTACTAGGACGAACTTTACAGGCGAGAGTGGAGGCTGGTTAATAACAGAGTCCTGTTAGGTGTATTCTGACCTAGATAGGAAGATAGATTCTAGGAACCCTGGGACACCACTGCAGCCCAGAGGCAGGCTTTGTTTGCTCTACCTGTCCCCAGACAATGCCTGAAGACATAGGGACCACACCCCCACCCCCTGCCAGTTATCCCGCGCCTTCTAACAAGCTCATAAACAAGGTTTCTGTCTGTGCCCCGTTCCCAGGAGTCCAGCAAAGAAATCACAGGGCACCGTTCTTGCGCTCCCCCAACCTCCAGCAGGAACCCCCACTCACCCACTGCTGCCTCCTCTTCCACAGCAGGAAGGAAGCTGGGCCATAAGTTAAAACAGCTGAGAACTGGACTGAGCCAGAGAGGTGAGGCAGACCTAAGGGAAAATCTGCAAGCCACCCTCCCTGTAACTCCCTCCCCCCAAAATAAGCTATGGGAGGTAGTCTCATATTGAGACTCCTAGACTCAGGGAACACCGGCAGCCACAGAATAGCAATAAACATGTGTGCCGTGTGGTTATGCAGGATGGCAGCATGTTACGGCAGCTGCCACCCCAACACCCTGCTCTCTCCGATAGGAGGGTGCCATGTTTTGACTTAGGTGAGCCCAGCCTGCCTTGTTTGGTAGCTATGGGCAGTGCCCAGCTCCAAAAGGGTGGGAGTCCAATGGTGAGTGGCATGTTTAGTGCCTGACCTTGGTGGTAACATATAAATCTAAACTGCAGGGCCTAGCCTGGCTACACAGGCATGGAATCTCCTTGGGAGGTGGAGGCCAAGGACTGAGAGATTTTATATTAAGTTTGAAGCCAGCCTTGGCTAATTGAAATGTTGTCTTAAAAAAAAAAATCCCAGCTAGTACAAGGGAGGTAGAGGCAAGCAGATCTCTGAGTCCCAGGCCAGCCTGTCTATATAGCAAGTTTCAAGACAGTCGGAGCTGTGGAGTTGGACTCTATCTCAACAAAAACGAAGTAAATTAAGCTATGTTCTAATAAAGTGGAGAGGCTCAGAGTTGCCTTCCGTTAGTTGTGATGGCTGCCCCTTGAGCCTCTTCATCCTTTTACGTCTTGCAAGGTTACAGTGATGGTAAATGGATGGAAAGGGAACCTACCACTACTAACTTCTGGAAGGTGTGTGGGAGGGTGTGAGAAAAGTTCCACTCGGTAGAACGGAGTGTGTACCTCTACACAAAATTTCCACCCCAACAGAAGTGTCCTAGCAGAGCAATAGAAAAGTCTTTGCCTTGAAGAAACTCAAGCCACCCAACCAAACGCATGAACACATGAGACAAGAAGCCCCAGGGCACCTTTGATAGTCTGAGGGGAGCTCATCCACTCAACTGACAACTTGGTGGTGGGTGTCAAAGGGCTTTTCCTTTTCTTTTAAAAGATGGCCTCATGTAGCTGATGGTGTCCTCAAGCTCTGGATTCTCCTGTTTCTATCTCCAGAGTGCTGGGGTTATAGGTGTGTGCCCCCGCCCGGTAGGGCCCAGGGTTTTTATATAAAGAGCTGTGAAGTATATGGTGCAGTTCAGTTTTCTCCTTTTGGTGAATATGATTGATGGTCAGCCATTCCTAATAAGCTGGCTCTGCAGTCGCAGTTCTTTCCATATGGTTAGGCACTGACTGACCTGTGAGCTCGTAGATTCGTTGACATGATGTAAGCCCCACAACTCTTTCTGTGTGTACACAGCAGGCTTTGGAAAGATCTGTCCCTATCAGCTTGTGGTGTGGTGTGTGTGTGTGTGTGTGTGTGTGTGTGTGTGTGGTGTGTGTGGTGTAGCGTGTGGTGTGTGTATATGTCTAGTGTGTGTGATGTATGTATGTACGTGTGTGCGTGGTGTGTATGGTATTATGGTATGTGCATGTGTGGCATGTGTCTATGGGTGTGTGTGTTTTGTGTGTGTGTGGTGTATGTGAGGGGGTTGGTATGTGTGGGTGGTGGGTGTGTCCTCTGTGGTCTCTTAAGGGAAAGGAAAGGAAAGTCTAAGAGTCTCAACATCAGTTCTCAGGTGTACAAGATCATGCCCAGGAACCTAATTTTAAAGGGATTCCTGAGAAGGGAACAAATACAATGGCCAGCATTGTTGGAGGACCATAAGGATCACAGCTAACCAGCTCAGCCACAGAGTAAGCCAGACTGAGGCCCCGCCCAAGACCAGTTTACCGTCTCACTGGCATCTGTTGCTAGGCTCACTAGCTTTGCCTTCCTCTGTGGTTTGAGCTGCCGGGTGACCACAGAAAGCAGAGGGAAGGCAGCGTGGCTCTCAGCCTCCCATTAATCAGGTAGCCAACATGAAATCATTTCTCTCCATCACAACCCTAACATTTGTTTTTCACAGACATGAATCACTGGCCCCATGGATGATGGACAGCAGGGTAAACACCTCTAATGGCTTGCATACACAATGTGCTGACATGTATGTTCTTACTTTGTTTGGCTCCTTAGACAATTGCCTAAAACCCACATCTGTGACTGTATGTTATGATGACTGTGGTTCAGGCCATCAGGCTTTGTGCGGCACCTTCCGTTTACAAAACACTTTCCACACACACTAAGGTCCACAAGGTGTTTGACTGGCCCACAGACATGTTGGAGAAGGGGAGCCAGGTTTCAAATTCAGGTCTCCACTATAAGTCCCTGAACGTCTTATTATGGCACATGTCTAGCATGCTGTGTGACACAGAGGCATCCCCTGCCAGACACCCATAGGTCCTCACTTGGGAGCAGGCAGTCAGTGAGTCCTTGGCTGCCTCTGTGGGCTTAACCTGGACCAGTAACCCTATGTAGGAAGCACAGCTTAGAAAAAGCACTGGAGAAGCCAGGACTGTCAATCACTCGGGCCTGTTCTCTTCAATGAAGGAAATGAATGATGCCTAGTCACCCGGAATGCCTGTGAAACGTGGTCAGTCAGCTTTGTGATTCTCAGTGTCCACCTGAATCCTCCAATAGCCTGAGCACTATTTAGGCCCTAGTCCTTCAGTTAAGAGAACACATCTCTACAAAAGAGGCTCCTTGTACTTTATACTCTTCACCAACAGAATCTACCTTATTCTTATCTCAGATCCTTCCTCTCGACTCTAGCCCTGAGCTGTCTATCAGCCAATAGAATCCATTCTTATTGTAAAGGTCACAGGTCACAAGTTCTACTACATTTAAATGTATAAGAAAAGTAAACCACAAGGCCATTCTCTAGAAGACTATGGCGCAATGCCCATAAAGATGGTACTGTCCTGGGTTTCATTCTTCTCCTGTCATATGCCGCCACCCCTGCCCCTGGCCATGAGGGTTTGGGGAGGTGGGACTGCATATCACCCAACTACCCATCTAAGGGCATTGGCACAGCAGTGAAGATACCAAGGTCAAAGATGCAAGCTAAATCTCCCATGAATATCAGGGCCATTACT